GTCGAGCACGTGGTAAATCAGCACTTAAAATTGCAATTAACAATTTCATTGGTGCCGGCGGGGATCGAACCCGGGCTGCTCGCGTACTGTTATATTTACAGCGAGCACTAATCATCTGAGCTACCACGGCTTCTTACGTAAGTAATAATTTTATTTTACAGGAAATGTAACGTAAATGATTTTGTAAAGCGTTTGGGAAATTACGATGCATCATCTCGTCAGATATACCTACCTCAAAAATTTGAAAACAAGATTGTACAACCAGTGCGTATTGTCAGTGATTACATATAAATCTGGGACGTGGTCCTTCACTGCTTGCCGTATGAGGAAGTTCATGGTCGCTCAGCAAGCTATAGAGACTGCTCGTTTCTCTAGCGAGATAGACTTATAAATGAGGCTAAGCGTTTGATTAGGCACTAAACATGACTTTATACAAATAGTTTTTGGGGTCTGGCATTTTTCATTTATGTGAAATTTGTTTATAATTAGGCTAAAACACCTTCAAGATATTGAAAAATGAAACACGAAATGGACACAGGCATTAATATGTCAAAAACTGTGGCTATGCAATATATGAGGGAAGCTTATGCTCAGCAGTGGACTTGCGATTTATCATCAATGTATTATTGCTGAAGACCGAATGTGGCAGCATCGTTTCCGGGACACCTGAGATTTTGAGTGAGATTGAGAGGTTCTTTGGGCAGCTGTACACGTCATCGTTGGAGCCACACGCAAGTGTGAGTAACGATCTAAGAGCGAGTCTAATCCGACACTATTCCGAAGATATCCCGGACGTCAGTCTGAGCGAGATTAGAATGGCTCTCCAGCACCTTAAAAACGGAAAGTCCCTGGGCGAGGATGGAATTACAGCGGAGCTTTTGAAAGCGGGTGGAAACCGATACTTGAAGTCCTTCAGAAGCTCTTTAATTCCGTCCTCCATGGTGGTACTACTCCGGAGGCGTGGAGCAGAAGTGCGGTGGTCTTGTTCTTCAAGAAAGGCGACAACGCTCTCTTGAAGAACTACAGACCGATTTCCCTTCTGAGCCGCGTCTACGTGCTGTTTTCGAGAGTCATTACGAATCGTCTCGCACGCAGACTTGACGACTTCCAGCCTCCCGAACAAGCCGGTTACCGAAAAGGCTTTAGTACCATAGACCACATACACACCCTTCGGCAAATTGTACAGAAGACTTTGCCTTACGTATGTGGACTATGAGAAAGCCTTTGATTCCGTCGAAATTTAGGCGGTGCTGCAGTCCCTTCAGCGGTGCCAAGTTGACTGTCGGTATATCGAAGTGCTGAAGTGTTTGTACAGTAGAGCTACGATAGCTATCCGAGTACAGAATCAGAATACGAAACCTATCCAACTGCAGAGAGGTGTAAGATAGGGTGACGTTATATCCCCGAAACTCTTCACCGCTGCATTGGAAGACGTTTTCAAGCTGCTGGACTGGAAAGGATGCGGTATTAACATCAATGGCGAGTACATCATTCACCTTCGATTTGCCGGCGATATAGTCCTTATGGCACAATCGCTGGAGGATCTAAGCACTATGCTCAATGATCTCAATAGTGTCTCCCAACGGATAGGTCTTAAGATGAACATGGGCAAAACAAAGATCATGTTTAATGTCCATGTCACACCTATGCCGGTAGTTGTTGGGAGCACTAAGCTCTAAGTTGTTGACGAGTATGTTTACCTGGGACAAATAGTCCGACTAGGCAAGTCCAACTTCGACCGAGAGGTCAATCGACGGATTCAACTCGGTTGGGCAGCGTTCGGGAAATTACGGCACATCTTCTTGTCAGGTATACCTCAAAACTTGAAAACGAGACTATACAACCAGTGTGTGTTGCCAGTGTTGACATATGGAACTGAGACGTGGTCCATCACTGCTGGCCGTATGTGGAAGCTCAAGATCACTCAGCGAGCTATGGAGACGGCTATGCTCGGGGTTTCTCTGCGTGATAAACTTAGAAATGAGGATATCCGCAGTAGAACCAGAGTAACCGACATAGCCCAACGGATTAGTAAGCTGAAGTGGCAGTGGGCCGGCCATATAGCTCGAAGAACCGACAACCGATGGGGAAGAAATGTTCTCGAGTGGCAGCCTCATAATGGTATGCGAAGTGTAGGGCGACCCCCCACTAGATGGAGTGACGACCTGGTAAGATATGCAGGAAGTCGATGGATGCAGGTGGCTCAGGACCGTGCTTTGTGGCATTCCTTGGGGGAGGCCTATGTTCAGCAGTGGACTTGTAAAAGCTCCGCCATCGCCAGGTTACACGTTTTAACAAATGCATAACCAACGTGACCTTCACTTTTATGTTTAATTCCTGGTAAAAATCAGCAAGAAGCTCTGCGAGACTTTTTTCTTTGAAAAAGAAAATTAATCTATACACCTATTATAATTAACAACATAAAACATAAAATAGAAATAGGTTGATAGCAATCACCTCATTTCCAGGGGCTTTCATCATAATTTCGGTCATTCATAATTTGCTTAACATTATAACAACCCTCTTTATTCAAACACTGTTTGAAAAAGTTTTTGAATTTTTTCTGGGATTTTGTTGTAAGAGAGTATAAATCGCCCCAAAAATGAATTACTGAATCTGTGGAGTCGAGTAACCTGTACTGCTAACTTTTGTCTGTTCCTAGTATTTACAGAGTAAATATTACTTATTTTATTAAACTTACTTATATTTCTGTGTGCATACATTACATTTTCGTAAATGTATCGAGGTGCCAAGTTAATATACCTATGAATTTCCTTAAATTTTTGTCTTAGAGATCAGTGATTATATTCTCTTTGTTAGAGACTGGGTTTTAAAATCATACATAAAAAAAAATACAATTGTTACGAGCTTGGGGTTCGAGACAATTAAAAACTGCCGATTGAATTACCAAAATTGACACTTTAATTACACAACGATAATTACAATCTAAAACCATACTAATAATAAAACATAATCACTTTAGTTCGCAGTTATTTCGCTTCGAAGTATTCTCTTGTATCGCCAATTCAATACTGCCCTGGTCGTGGTCTATTCCGGCCTTATTTTTTTTATAGGATAAGGGTGACAAACGAGCACACAGTCCACCTGATGGTAAGTGGTTGCTGCGGCCCATAGACATCTACATCCATCCTCGTTTGCGAACCAAAATGCAGATGCGTTGCCACCCTTGAGGACTAAGATGGAATGCCTCATTTCCAGTAAAAAGGGCCTCCGGCCACCTGCACTCACCAAGCGAAACGCAGAGGTAAACCTCTACTTCACGCTGGTATTCTGTGAGGTCGTGGTACCACCCCGGTTAGAGCCGGCCCATCCGTGCGACAGCAAAAGCTGCCGCGTGGCTCTACCACTGTTACCTTATATAGGGGTAAGGGCCTCAGATAGTTTCCAGAACCTTCTATGTTCGAGTACATATCGGTCCCAAAATTTCTCAATCTTCACTCTCCTAGTTCTGCTACTCGACACTAGAGGGCGCTAGTGTAACTAGTGTTGCCATGTACAAGACATTAATAGTGGCGCGCAACACTTTCTGCTACTCGACACTAGAGGGCGCTAGTGTAACTAATGCTGTCTTGTACAAGACATTAATAGTGGCGCGCAACAATATATTGATCTCATGGCCCCGTTCTGCAAAACAAATATAATTTCAGTGTCAGTCGCGTGTACACATAGCAAAATACCATTCGATACAAAATAGCATAATGCTATGTAAATAGCTAAAATAAACAAGTCTAGCTATTTTAGCACTGGTAACATTTCTATTTTTTTTTTTGGAGCATACCCATGGATGAAACTATTTTACATTTAAGCCCGCTAAAAGATATCTCACAGTGTGAAAGCCAATCGCGGGATATAATATAATATATTATATCCCATAGTGAAAAGCGAGCTTTAGGCCCGCCACATACATACGGAATTCCGTTTCGAGATTCCGTTTCGGAATTTCGAACGGTCGGCCACACACAAACGGAATCCCGTTTTGCCCGCAAAATATCGAACGGAAAACTACCGTACGTGTGTGGCGGGTCATAGATTCTATATGGACTTGCTGCGTTCGGGATTCCGAATCGGAATATCGAAACGGTATCCCGAAACGGAATTACGTATGTATGTGGCCGGCTTTTAGGCCCGCCACATACATACGGAATTCCGTTTCGGAATTTCGAACGATCGGCCACACACAAACGGAATTCCGTTTTGCCCGCAAAATATCGAACGGAAAACTACCGTACGTGTGTGGCGGGTCATAGATTTTATATGGACTCACTGCGTTCGGGATTCCGAATCGGAATATCGAAACGGAATCTCGAAACGGAATTCCGTATGTATGTGGCCGGCCTTAGAGGAGAATCCCCGTAGTCATCAATGAAATTAGCACAACTGCAGACCAGTGTTAAAAAATATTTTTCGAAGACTAGAGGACTAATAATGTTCCGGTCACCAAATGTCGCTAGTTCGTACTGATGTGAAGTTCTTTGTTACGCATTGCGATTTAATTGAGAAGTGAGTTTTAAATGAAAGTTTATCAGTTTCTAGAGTATATTTTAATACACAAAACAATGCCTCAGTGGTTTGCTCTTTCATTTTTTGCATATTTTTTAAATATTTGTAATTTTTTCTACTTTTACGAATATTCTCAGTTAATATTAATATTCTTATTCATTTGTAACCTAATTAACATAAAATATAACTAATAACAGAAGGAATCACTAACCCTTATATTTTTCTAACAAATTAACTCTCACTATGAAATCTATCAAATATTTCAACTCGTTCCAAAGTGGTGGCAGAAAAATTCGTGGATACCCTCATTGCTCCATAAGCCTCTCAGTAAGCGTAGTGATTATATTCTCTTTGCCCCTCAGTATGATAGGACCTATAGCTTTGAACTTTTCTTCTTTAATTTAAAGTATATGTGCTATTCTTTAGTTTTTTTTTAAATTTAGTGTACGACAATTAGGATGGCAAGTGAAACACGGGTAATCGGTTCGACTGTATTTTAATTTAAAATTTCAAAAAGCAAATACAATTATCTCCGCATGACTCGTCTCATAAAGCTTTACACGTAAGGTAGTATCTTTAATAGTACATAATAAATATAACAAACAGTGAAAGTACTCTGGCGCCGCGAAACGTCGCGATACGCAGCAGCACGCAGCGTGCGGCTGCGGATCGCTGCGAATCGCTACGAATCGCTGCGGACCGCTGCAAGCCCTCACACCCTACTTGTCCTTCTCAGTCTCCGTCTTCCTACCCAGCGGGAAGGCCGCTCGTACTCTGTAATTAGAAAGTTTAGGATGAGTAACAAAAAATATACATAAAAGAGAATAACCATTCCACATAACTTTTTTTCCTTTTGAACAGAGTTCAAAAAACTAGAATGTTCTATTTTCGACGCGTATGTTTTTTATGTATGTTTACTGATTTTTCGGAAACGCTTAAGGCGATATAAATAATTTTTTTTTCAATAAAATAGGCTATAGTTCAAGGTCGGTACAACATAAATTTGAAGGAAAATTCCATCACTAAGTGTAGAAAAATAGGACGTAAAGACTTTAATGTACCTATTTTAGTTGTTACCTTGAATTTGAAAAAATATTCATTAGACGGCCTAAAGCTCCGGCTACACGCAGCAACTTGCATGCGCAAACAGTTTGTGCAAACAACACAGTGCACTGCACAACGGCTCATTGCTCACCATTCACCCAGTGAGGCAAGTGTGGATTACACCTTTATGTACGTGGTATGTTTATTTTACGTGGTAGAGCCATGCTGCAGCTATATTAGTAGTATAGTTGTAGCACGAATGGGTCGGCTCGACCGGGGAAGGACTACGCTCTCACAGAAAATCATTACTGTGTTTCGTAATATGGTTAGTGTAGAGAACCGGAGACCCTTGTTACTGGAAGGAATCGAGGCTTTCCATCTTAGTCCTCCTCAGTCTATGGGCCACAGCATCCATTTACCATCATGTGGACAGTGTTTTCGATTGTCACCCTTATGGACCGGATGTCGCTAGTTGCGACTGAGGTGATGTTATTTGTTACACAGTGCCATTATAATTGAGAAGTTGCGTTTTAAATAAAAGTTTATTGGTGTCTAAACTAAGTCAATACACAAAACAATTCCTCGGTCGCTTGCTCTTAAACTTTTTGCACATAATATTTTAACTCTTTAATTTTTCCACTATTAGGAACATCGATTGTTTACTTTTCATTTCTAATCTAACTCATATAACATATAACTAGTATTTTTTTATTGGATAGGGTGACAAACGAGCATACAGTCTTCCTGATGGTAAGTGGTTGCTGTGACCCATAGACATCCACATCTATCCTAGATAAAGAATCAAAATGCAGATGCGTTGTCCCCGTGAGGTCTAAGACGGAATGCCTCTCTTCCAGTAAAAAGGGTCTGCGGTTCTCTGCACTCACCATACGAAACACAGCAGTGTTAAGCTGCTTGTTTCGTATGGTGATTTTACGCTGGTATTCTGTGAGAGCGTGGTCCTTCCCCGGTGGAGCCGACCCATTCGTGCTACAACTATACTACTAATATAGCTGCAGCATGGCTCTACCACGTAAAAAATTCAAGAAAAAGTATTTCAGAATAAAACAATAACCCTTTCATTTTCCTATCAAATTAACTTCCCCACACTTTGAAATCTGTCAAATATTTCACCTCATTCTTAGTTGGCTCCACCTTGGTGGCAGAAAAAGTCGCGGATAATTTCATTGGTAATTAATACTTGCGATTGTTATAATTTGGTGAAATTTCATTTTCATTTTTGTGATTTGGTTATACGCATACACATGGTGAAACAAGTACACGTGTACGTCCGAATCACAACATTATATCAATGGACGTATTCGCGAGGAGATAGGTTCCTTAGCTGCCTACGAGTTAGTATAGGTGGCTGTTATACAGGTTTATTTTTCAAAGAGTAGTCAAATTTTAAACTTAAGTTCAAATATTTAAATAATAATATACTGTTCTTGCAGTTTTTGAAAATACGAATAAATAAGGCTTCTACTTTTATTGGAAATTATCACAAATTTAACCTCAACCATAAGGTAGCAGTACACGTTGCCCGAACGCACTTGGCGAGCACGTTCGGCCAACATGTACTGGGCCGTTTTATGTGTATCTGGCGTTTGCCGGCAACACTCGCCGACAAGCCGTATAGTGTAAGTTTTCCGTGCACAAATCAAAGAAATTTGGCGCAAGCCGCAAATAGCGATCACACGCGTTGGCCGAGTGTTCAGTTCATAGTTACGCTTTACGGCTTAATAAAATTATTTCACGAACATGGCGACATGGCCTAATGAGGAAATATTTAGGTTCGTTGATTCTTATCACAATGAATCAGTTATATGGAACCCCAAACATGAGCAACATAAAAATAAGGCCGCGATCACTAACGTCCATCATCATCTAGCTACCAACGCAGAATGAAGCACGCCAACGTGTGAACGGCACCACAAAAATCTGCCGAGCGGGCTCGCCAAGCGCGCTTGACCAACGTGTACTGGAGCCTTTAGACTAAATAATATTACTACGCCTCAACTACGCGTACGCGCGCTCTGCTGTGTACGATTCAATTCACAAGGTTTTTGGCGACCAATCGACTCTTACGACTTACGAATGTGTGCGTGCGTAGTAATTTTACTACTGTTTAGTAGGCGTTAGATTATTTTGTTAGGGTCGCTCCCTTACGAATGTGTGCGTGCGTAATAAAATAGGAGGCGTTAGTATTTATGATTGACAGTCAGTTAAAATAATGCTTTACCACGAATTCCGAATTTAAAAGATAAAAAGAACAGAATGTTTGAGGTTTTTTCTTAATTAATTTCTCTTTAACTTTTGCCTATATTGCTTATTCTGAACCTTCTTTGGAAATTTGGCCGGTTTATTGCAAATAACCCTTTGCCGACAACTGACAGTGCTTGCATTGAATGTGTTCCGGTGTTAATGGCACGGAGAGCCAGTATCATTACAGGCTGGACGCATTCCAACTTAGTGCTCAGAGGTGACAACGCATCCGTAGTCTTCTTTGTTTGAAACTGGCTGCAGGTGTCCACGGACCGCAGAAGTCACTTACCCCACCAGGTGGACTGTGAGATCATTTATCACTTTAGGTTTACTTAAAAGAAATCTTAGTAAAGTTTTTTTTATAGAATGAGGATGACAAGCGACCACACAGTCCACCTGGTGGTAAATGGATGCTGTGGCCCGTGGACATCTCCATCTATCATGAATTAACTATCAAAATGGATGCGATCCTCCACAGTCACTATACGAGACACAGCAGCATTAATCTACTATTCACGCTGGTATTCTGTGAGAGCGTGGTCCAAACCCAGTCGAACCGACCCATTCATGCTACAACCATATCAAGCTGTGTGTGTGTATGTGTGTGTGTGTGTGTGTGTGTGTGTGTGTGAGGTGGAAGCTATCCGTGGCACTGACTTGGCGGTGATCTCGGTGATCTTGGCGCGCGCCAGCTCGAGGTTGGCGTCCACCTGCGTCTTGTTCATCTCGTACGCCTTCGGCAGCGTGAACAGCGCCACCCACCCTGCAACAACAACACCAGCATTGCTCACTTCATGCTCCAAAATTCTTCATTCTAATATCACTACAAAAATACTATTTTATTTAAAAGTAAACAAATCAATTTGTTAAAGATATTACAAAATTTATTAGTTAAAATCTGCAAACCGCAGTCTGCTTCACCCGAGGATACCTCGTTTAGATGCGAAACACGCGTCGTTTTATCGACGGTGGTGTCTTTCCTAGTGTAGTGGTGTTGGTAGTAGTGGTGACGGGGATAGTGCACGCAATAGAGGGAGGACGGAAGTTGCTCTTCAAACTAGGCAAAACACATAACTTTTTTTTAATAAGCGGATCTTAACTAATTTATTTTTAATATCTTTACAAAAAAGAATTTCCGCAAAGTGATGATTCTATTGATTAATGAATAATATGCAGTTAGAGATCATGTAGTTTAATATTGCATCCACGTGTCTTGTGTTTATGGTAGGCCAGCGAACCAGCCTGGTTTCACCTGGGTTATTTATTTTATCACTTTTTTTGATAACGTCTAATTTTTTGGGATAAAATATAGTCTATCTTTTTATCTGTTCGTGAAGTTTAATTACAAACAGTTCAGCTATTCCGAAGATTATTCATGACTTAACTACATGCAAATAGCCTCCTCAGCTCAATATAAGGCAGCTATTTTGATGTTACATACATATACTTCAATTTTATTTATTTGTACTTACTGATAGATTTTGTCACACTTACATGTTACGTATGATACTTGTTATTATGTTTGATACTTTTGTGTTTTAGTAGGTTTTAGCATTTTATTGTATTAATAAACTTTAACATTGTAAAAACGATAAAATCCACCAAAAAACAAGGCATGCACGTGCACTTTTAAATAAATACTTTCATATTATCCTGTATACATATTGCTCTTGTGCTTAGTTTGTATTTTATTTATTCATTTATCGACAACAGTTCCATCTACCGGGTCTAATTGTGAATCTAAACCTTCGGACGGTTACCGTCCAGGGACTCGGTCGATCCAGTTTCGAGTTCTAGCGAGACTAACTGACAGCAATTGTTTTTTATATATAGAGATATTTAGGCAAAGGCATCACCACTTATCACCAGGTGGGTCTGTAGTTAAACAAGGACTTCTAAGTAAAAAAAAAAATAGCTTTTTATTTAATAATAAATAAATATTATCTTTACGTGTGTTTACGTGTACATATGTATACATGTTATTTCTATAAATTCTATAAGATTACCATCGAAGACCTCTGGCACTAGAGTATACATGAGCAATAAGTTATGTATACTCTTCTTACATTATATAAACATTTACTCAAAATAAATATTATACTTTAATTGTAAAAAAATAATATTGTGTTTCTGAATAAACTATTTTTGTATTTTTGTAAATGTACACCTAAGTAAATATTCGGCGAAGTAAAGATATATGTACAATTTTATGCTATCGATCGATAAATTTAATATTTTATTATTACATTTTGTATTGTATGCAAGTAGTTCTTCGTGCTGATTCAGTTCATACACAAAACCGGATGAGGATGCATCTCTGAGAAATTATAAATATTTACCAAGTCATAATTGAGTGTGTCTAAACTGAAACAAGGAAACTTAAACAGAAGATGGTAAGTAGAATCTTCTTGAGCAGTTTCTATTCAACTTAATAATAATAATAGATAACTGCGGTTGCCAAGCGTGGCAGCTGTGGCAAATATGCCCCCTATTGGGCAATCTATGGAGAAGGTCTATTGTCAACAGTGGACTTTTTAGGGACTGTATTGAATGAATGAATGATTGAGAAACGCATTGCCGACGACGCATACTTAAAAGGGCCTATGTCCAGCAATGAATTTAAATAGATAGACAATGAAAACTGTTGATATAAATTTTCATTTATACGAAAATACATACATTAGTGGCATAATTAATATATAATCTATAATTCATAGATATTTAGTTTTTAATAATTGTTTAGTCTAAACTTTCGGTGCAATTCAAATATATGAATACTGTACGTTCGTTGAGAAAAGTTCAAAATTAAATATCTTAACGGACATGCAACCGAATTGTATCTACCGTAACTATTGTATCACAAATATACTTGATATAGTTTCAAGGAGCTTTATTTTATCTCCTTGTTCTATTCTGGACAAGAATTGGTGAACGTGACAAGACAGAACAGAACGTAAACTATACATTTATTTATTTATAATAATTATTACTACAAGTAAAATGGAGAAACTCACCTAGAATGATAAGAGTGATGCCGTTGAAGCAGGCGCCGACGTAGGTGAGGCACCACAGCAGCACGCCGAACTTCAGCGAGTCCACCAGGTCTTCAACCAGGAACAGCCTGCAATGCACAACGAGAAAGCCTGTAGTAGAAACTGCTACTCAGAATTTCTTTTCAAAAAACCCAGTAAGTGATTTTGGCCCGACCCGGCATTCAAACCCGGGACCTCACCATCAGCAATCGCGTTTACGACAACTAGACCAATACTACTAGATACTAGACTATTGATTTTATAACGATTTGCAAAAGTTTCATATCTTCTACAAGTAAATTTTACTAGTTACTGAAGGATCATGGCGTTGATCTCTTTTATACTAAACAAGTGAACTAAGACATTTATTGCCTTTTAAATTCCTTAGCTCTCAGCCAGTGCTGATTTATTTATTTTTAACATTTTATATCTTCAACAAAAAGTGGACTTCCATTGTAAAACACTTTTATAGTTAGTGATTATTATCCATGATAACATATTTTCTGTGCGTAATAAAAATTAATTAAATAAAATATTTCTCTAAAACAATGTCATTTTTGAAATTGTTCAAGTTTTCATTTCAATATTTTAATAAATAAATGTACCCCTTTACCCTACCGAGTCGTGGTAGCTCAGTGGCTTGGCGTTCGCTGTAAACTTCACAGTACGCGAACCCGGGTTCGATCCCCGCTGGCACAAATGAAATTGTTAATTGCAATTTTAAGTGTGGATAACCACGTACCCGAGTGAAGGAAAACGTCGTGAGGAAACCTGCATGTCTGGGAAATAAAAACAAATATTTCGAAGACAAACAGGCGATGGGTAGGAGAGGAGTATCTTCTTGATAACAACTGAAAATAATAAGAAACTACGGTTGCCAACTTGCCTGCTAAACTTGGCCACTATAGCAACAGTCCCCACCCCCTTATGAGGCTTTATATAGGCTATAATGAATGTTTCCGATGTGTGTTTGTGTGTGTGTATATGTAGGTGCGTGTGTGCATGCGTGTGTGTGTGTGTGCACGCGGGTGGTGCGTGGTGCGTACCTGCGCAGCTCGTGCGTGGTGGCGTTGAGGTGAGCCGTGGCGGCGGCGGCCAGCTCCTGCGCGCGCTCCGCAGGCACACTGATGTCCTTCTCCAGCAACCATCTGCAAACCATATCGATTTACTATATTTGCTATATCGATGTACGACTGAATGTTGGATATTTCTTTTTGTTTATGGAATAAGAGTGACAAACGAGTTCACAGTTCACCTGATGGTAAGTGGAAGCTACGGCCTATAGACATATACATTTCTCTTCAATTATGGATCGAAATGCAGATGCGATGTCACCCCTCAAAACTCAGATGAAATGCCTAGTTTCCAGTAAAAAGCATCTCCGGTTTTCTACACTCCCCATACGAAACACAGCAGCATAGCTGCTATTTTACGCTGGTATTCTGTGGTCTAATCCCGAGCGAGCCGTTCCATTCGTGCTACAGCCATAACATAGCTGCAGCATGGCTCTACCATATACACGTTTAAATGTTACCCTCACACTAGGTTTTTCTCTTATATCGCGGAGGCAATTTACATACAGAAATAGCACAAGGACAAACATTCAGACCCGGAACAATGACTTGTAGGCCATACAAATACTTGTGCCATGCGGGATTCCAGTGCTGATTGGCTGTAGAAATACGTGTCCTACCACTAGGAACAAAATGACAAAACCACTTTAACACCAACATAGCCTATTATCATTGTTGTACATTGCTTAGCCTCAGTAAAGCAAAAGTATGTTCATTTTTTAAATAAATTTTTATTAGTAGTAATAATTCAAGAAGTCAGTAGGTATGTAAGTACAAAACAAAAATGTTTAATTATTTCCACTGAAAAATGTATTCACAATAACTTAACAGCGTGACTAATCTTTCAGAACACTTGTAAAACAGACTTTGTTTGTTATATTGAATAAACACATCGTATAGATCATCCCAAGTTCACCCCACCTTCGTAAAGGTTATCTTTAATGTTTATTACGAGATATTAAGTTTATCTAGACTAGTTTTATAATTTCGCAATAAAAACTTTATTAAAATGATCTACCCGTAATGTCAAATATTTCAATGACACCTGTCTTGTAGCAATATATGAGGTTTTTTTTAAAATTAATATTGATTTTTTATACATACGTGGTAGAGCCATGCTACTTAAAGTATGTAGCACGTACATATGGATCGACTCGACCGGAGAAGCACCACGCTCTCCCTAAATACCAGCGTAAAATAGCAGCTTAATACTGAAGTTTAGAGAACAGGAGACTCTACCGAAGACGAGGCATTCCATCTTAGTCCTCATGGGTGACAACGCATTTGCATTTTTAATCTTTATCGAGGGTAAATTTAGATGTCTATCGGCCACAATACCTACTTATTATATCAGGTGGACTGTGTGATCGTTTGTCACCCTTATTCTACAAAAAAATGCATGTTTCATATTGTAATGTATATCACTGGCTTTCAAGATGGTTAGATGATAGGTCTGATACATGCTGGCGACCTTAGCGGTATCATATGACTATAACTTGATACGGCCGACGGGATCATGTTCTCGGAACTGAAAGTGCTCTACGCTACCTAGGTATCATACAAAAAGTGTCAAATTCAACGGTTTATTATACTTTTTTAAATATATATAATATTTTGTGGAATAGTATGTACGCTAAAATAAGATTTGTATAAGGTCAAATATAAACTAAAAATAATTTTAATTTTACAATCAATAGAAAAAAATTTTTTTTAGAATTTAGGAACTCATGCTAAAATTAAGAATAGAATGGAATATAATAATGTTTATTCAATATAGATTAAAAGAATGCTTGTTGGAAGTCATTGATGCTTCAGTAACAGATAACAGTGGTAGAGCCACGCGGCAGCTTTTGCTGTCGCACGGATGGGCCAGCTCGAACCGGGGTGGTACCACGACCTCACAGAAAACCAGCGTGAAGCAGAGGTTTACCTCTGCGTTTCGCTTGGTGAGTGCAGGTGGCCGGAGGCCCTTTTTACTGGAAATGAGGCATTCCATCTTAGTCCTCACGGGAGACAACGCATCTACATTTTGATTTGTAACAGAGGATAGATGTAGATGTCTATGGGCCGCAGCAACTACTTACCATCAGGTGGACTGTGTGCTCGTTTGTCACCCCTATCCTATAAAAAAAAGTCATTTATGCTTACCACTGGTTCGGAAAAAGCCTCTGTCCTGAGAAGAACAAGTAAGAAACCCAGTGGGACTATTCCCTTTAACAATAATTTACATTTTAATATGTTGTATATTTAAATATGAAAACATTTAGAAACAACACCTCACTCACTCCTGGGGGTTATTATCAATGTAATATAATATAGTCTTTTTACTACTAAAGAGTGAATAAAAATTGGTATATAATAGGATTAATATAATAATACAAATTTTAAATTCTAGTCGTGCCATATTTTCTGGGACTTTGTTGTAAAAGCGTATAGAGTAGTCATGGGCCATGAGCCAGATATGCAAGAGGCATGTCGTAACTCTTTTACAATACAATCAAAATGAAAGTTATCAGAGATTGTGGCGCGCCATCACTGCACAGAAAGTGATCTCGCTTCTTGTTCAAGTTTCACTTTCGTACCGTAACCTCGTGTACTACAATACTGTACTGAATTTTTAAGAAACACTCTTAGAGTATTTTTAAATATGACACTTCTGTACACTAATTAGCGAAGCGAAAGTATCCTCGTGGTTATCTGTGAACTGTGAATTTGAAAATCGTGAGTTCAAATGTCCGCCATTTCACTGACTATCGTGATCCTCCCCTAGCACAATAATTTTAAGCTTACTTGGATTGGTTGACGGGACGGTGTTTAGTAATGTTGAAAGCATTAATTCATTGGCTACCTCCAATTTTCATCAGATCATTTCTCCATCTAGTGGGGGGTTGCTCGACACTACGCTTGGACAGGACGAGGTTGCCATTCAAGAATCTTTCTTCCCCATGGGTTGTCGGTTCTATATATTTTTTATAGAATAAAGGGTAACAAAAAGCACACAGTCAACTTGATGGTTGATGAAGTAGATGCTGTGGCCCATAGACATTTACATTTATCCTCGATTAAGAATCAAAATGCAGATGCGTTGTCACCCTTGAAGACTAAGATGGAATGGCTCGTTTCGAGTAAAAATGGTCTCTAGTTTTCCACACTCAGCATACGAAACACAGCAACTTTAGACTGCTACTTTACGCTGGTGTTTTGTGACAGAGTTATCCTACCCCGGCTGAGCCGGCTCATTCTTGCTACAACTAACATAGCTGCTCTCTTAGTTGTAGCACGAATGAGCGAATGAGATAATGAGCCACGTATAAACTATATGGCAAGAAAGTAATCGATGGATGCAGGTGGCTAAAGACCGCACTTTGTGGCTATCTATGACGGAGTTATAACGGTGACTTGAGTGTTTTTTTGTTATTATAAGCCAGTGCTTGACTACAATCCCACCTGGTGGTAAGAGCATGCCCTGGAGTATGGGAATCGCACTGTCTTAACGTAACAAAAACCTTTTGCCTTGAAAACGCTCATTGTAATCGGATGGAAAGACAGACGCCGGCAGATTGATGCCTACGTGGCGCAGTGGCTTTGCAATGAGTTGTTGCACTGGGGGCCGTGGGTTCGAATCCTCTCACAAAGGCTCACAAATAATTGTTTCGGGTCTGGATTTTTGTCCTCGTGAAATCTATGTTTGTAAACTGCATCCACGATACAGGAGAAAATCTTAGTGTGGTGGTAAGGTTTTAAAAAAAATGAAATTAAATGAAATTATTCCACTCCTTTGCTGTGCCTACGCATTACGAGTACAAAAGACAAAGCAAACCGGTTGGTTCTAATGCGTGGAATATCGTCAGCAAATAGGCGAAGCCCCGCCGACTGCCCGGTTGTCCGGTGGTGGAAAGAGAAGGAGGAAATTAAAGCATGTAATAGAACACCACGAGGTTGGCTACTCTGCGCCTGTGCTTTAGGCTGATAGTGATAATAGCATTATTAGTAAAGCACGTGAGGGCGATATGGTCACCTTAAGCTTTGCCACCATATAAAACCAAAACTAGAAGGAGAACAGAGACAAAAACACACAGTCGTATACTATGACTGATAGGATAGTAAGAAAAATATAGCAAACAAGCTTTAGCATTAATTAGGAACAGTTGTTAATGTCTTAACTAAAAAAAGATAATGAACTTAACCATATTTATTATACTGTCAAAATGGCGTCAATAAATAGCGTCTTTTTGACCTTATATTGAATGATGAAGGGCTATAGTATCAAGCTACCTATGCAAACAAGGCTGTAATTTTTGAGTTTTATAACCCAAAAACTACCAGCCTAGACTGAGTAAACCTTCCTCGAGGAGGGGCCGCCATGGGGCGGCCGGCGCTGGTGGGGCCGCGGATGTGTGCGAAAGCGTTCCCGTTTCTGCCTATATGCGGCGAAGGTGGCACACCATGGGGTTTTAGTCGGTGCGAGTCCGACATAAACCGCCTGCCCTCGCGAGGCAAGTATGCGAAAAACAAAGTTTTTGAGTTATAAGAAAGTGACCATATTAACCGCATGACGACATTACCCTCACGTACGCTATTTAAAAAAAACGCGGCAAAGTTACCCTTACCCCACGTAAATTATAGTATATGTGTGCGTATATATTTACTTTTTATATAATTTCTTACGATTTCTGTAACTGCTTCCATTGTTATTTACTGCCCTAAGTTTAACTGGGAGAGTCCACCTTTTGATCCTATACTGTTTTGTAAGGTTTAATCCCACCAAAAACATTCTGTAAAATACTAGCCAAGTCTCGATGGAGCTGCTTGTTTATCTCTAAAAAGTAATGAAATCTAGACAAAGTCGTGCCAAGTGTAAGGTTCCTTACTGCGATTTCTTTATTATTATAGTTAATGTTGTGTGACTTGGCCGTTGTAGGGAACACAACGGTACAAAACCAGGTGCTACATTGCATACACACCATTGCACCAATTTGTCGCCAGAACCGCTACCCATTGACGATGGAAAAGTGCTTCTTGGAAAACGTTGATTGAATAACCAGTCAATTGTAAGCTTAATAAAGTTGCGTTTACACGTAATGTTGCACGTAATTGTGTTTACACGTAATGTTATATCTGTTGTAATTACTTATGTTTGTTAAGCGAGATATATATAATAGTCCATAGTGGTATTGGTAGTTGGACGGTAGTGTCTCATTTTAGGCGGTTGTTGATTGTGCAACACATGCATTCAGCATTGACAATGCTGACTTCTGCTCTCTTCTTTTTGGAGCGTCAAATCGACCACCGATCTAACATAAAATAGATGTACAGACGGACTTCTATCAATGATTAGAAGTCCACCTGTACTGGAAATAATTTTTTATATTGTTTGTTTCAGGCTCGCCTATACAAAAGTATTATTGAAATATGCAGCTTTATCAAGCCTGCAATTGACTGATTATTCAATCAACGTTTTCCAAGTGGCAATTTTCCATCGTCAATGGGTAGCGGTTCTGGCGACAAATTGGTGCAATGGTGTGTATGCAATGTAGCACCTGGTTTTGTACCGTTGTGTTCCCTACAACGGCCAAGTCACACAACATTAACTATAATAATAAAGAAATCGCAGTAAGGAACCTTACACTTGGCACGACTTTGTCTAGATTTCATTACTTTTTAGAGATAAACAAGCAGCTCCATCGAGACTTGGCTAGTATTTTACAGAATGTTTTTGGTGGGATTTCACTGCTTTTTGTAGAAACGTGGGCATATTTATTTATTTTATTAGGTTTTCTTATTTGACACATTTTTTTTTAGGAGTAGTTTTTTTATTATTACAAATCTTTCTTTTCTTTTTTTCCGGTTCTGATTCTTGTACAGTAGCAACAGTTTTTCGTATTGCCCATTCGCGTTCATTATTTATTCTTTTACACGGTTTAGACGATTTAATTTCTGAAAGATCGGCGCGGTATTTACGCCTAAGCCGGTTGTATTCGGTGATCGCTGAAGCTTGAGCTTTTATACTCTTGAAGTCAACATTTATGAGGTGCACTCCATGAAGATTGGTTACTCGTGAAAGCGCCACGTAGGCTTGGCCACAAGAGAATATGGAGGTGCCAATGTCCATGAGGACATTTTTCAGACTTAGACCTTGGCTCTTATGAATTGTTAGGGCATACGCCACACAGATTGGGAATTGTTCTCTGTACACGTATTTTTTTTATGTACCAATAGTAGAAGGGGGCATTACCATATCTCTAACACATCTGAGACCAGCTGAGGGTTCTTCATCAGATACTTCGGACCTTCGATTTTTGACATCAAATGAAGCGGCCCACCAAGTTGAATATTTTTTGTAAAGGCGGTATGTCGATCTCTTCTAATAGTTTGGTTGGGCTCTTGTGTTTTCTAATCAGGGTCACCAGGTACTCCAGATCTTCGATTATCCTAGTTTTTATAGTTTTCCCTTTATGTGGCCATTAAACCCTAACTCTGTACCAAATTTCAGCTCTCTGAGTTTATGGGAAGTACTAGTTCTATTCTGATGATCATGAGTGAGTGAGTGTCATAAATGCGAAACTTTGCTTTCGCTTAATTTCGGAACTAAATGACCTATAGACTTGAAATTTTGGATTTTAAGTATGTGATTATAGCTTACTGGATGACGAAAATTTCTGCGTTCTGGTCTTATCCGGAGGTTCTCAAATAGAGGCCTGAAAATGCGGCGAAACGGTTCCAGTAAAGGATGGTACGGCAGTGTTTGCTTCGCGCTCGACTTGGCGGGGGCACTGCCGTGCCCCCCGATAAAAATTAAATATAAATTACCACCAAAAATAACCACGTAAATCAGCCGATACCAAACCGGACTGCTCACGTATTAAATAGACCACCTAATATATTAATTTACAAAGACAAGCTATGTTCTCTATTTTTGTTATCCAAGAGAATTCATCTTATACGTATAAATATTTATTGAAATTTTATTATTATTTATTTAAAATTTTTATTCTGTATGATAATTAAGTTACTAGTTTTAGTTTTTTTATTATTATTACAGTTTTTAATATTGTATATAATAAAATATTGTATATTATGTTATATAAATATTTGTTTCTATGACTATTCATATAATTTAGTAAATATTGCACATTATTTCGTTGAAATCTTTTGGATGAAAAAAATCCTCCCGTCAGCATTGTACTAGGTGCTTTCCGTGCAACAAGGCTTACAAGGGTCGTTGACCTGTGACGTCACCGCACTGCAGGCAGGTATCGACGTTAGTTCAGGTAGGTAGCAATCTAGTAAATTTTAAGTTGCTGTGCAATGTGCAAGTATGTTGTGGCACATTTGTGTTTTTAAATGTATCAGTTTTGAAAATAATACTAACCAGTCTCTTAGCTACCTTATATAATATCTTTATCGAATGATTTTTTTTCAAAACACATTTTCAAAACATTATAAAACATAAGAAAAATGAAAAACAGTTATAATCCAATTAAATATCTTCTATCTTTTTAAATGTACCAGTTCTAAAATAATTATAATTTAAAAAAATTGTATAACCGACTTCAATATAAATCATTAAGAATAACTTAAAAACGATTGGTCAGATCTTGATCAAAATTAAATGGGACCACATGAGACGCACCAGCTTTCAAATAACCAGTAAAAAGTTATGAGGTAACGCACAAAAATAAACATACAGTCCAATTGAGTACCGTCTCCTTTCGACGTCGTCCTCAAACAAATAAGGTTGCAGATGTCACCTTTAAGAACGTAAATTTTAAAAAATAACAAAACATCGATATTTGATAGGAGGCGCAATAAGACTTTGGTAAAAGAAAAAATAATGACTATCAATAACAATTACTTGTTCTATCTATCTTCCCTGTGTAGGTATATAAAAACCAATGGCTGTCCGTTAGTCTCGCTAAAATACTAAAATGGCTTGACTAATTTTGATGACATTCTTTGTGTGGGTTTGAGTGGGTCCCCGGATGGTTTAGATTTGCAATTGGACCCGGTAGGTGGCGCTGTTGTCGAGATCCAGAAATGACCCGTGCGAAGCCGGGGCGGATCGCTAGTAATGAAAATTATTCTATAATATTCCAAAAAGTGCGAGTGAGATAAAATATGATGATCTGATAGCTTGGCGATGATGACGTAAGAAAATGAATCACCCGCCAAATAGGGCACTAACGGCAAAAAAAATTGCGGCACTGCCTACTGATTTTATTTTATAGAATACGAGCGATCTGCCCCGGCTTCGCACGTGATTTTTGTATCTCGACAACAACGCCACCTACCAGGTCCAATTGTAAATCTAAAGCATTCTCACTTAATCACACACACTAAATTTCATTAAAATCGGTCCAGTCGTTTAGGAGGAGTTTAGTCACATACACTCGGACAGAAGAATTATATAATATGTATGTATTATACATATAAATCTTCCTCTTGCATCATGCTTTCTATTGATGAAAACCGCATCAAAATCAGTTGCGTAGTTTTAAAGATCTAAGTGTACAGACGGCGGGAAGGAACTTTGTTTTATACCATGTAGAGATAGAGATGGGTGACAAACGACCACACATTCCACCTGATGATACGTGGTCTCTGTGACCCATAGATATTCACATGTATTCTCAGCTAAGAATCAAAATGCTGATGCGTTGTTACTCCTGAGGACTAAGATGGAATAGTAATTTTTTTACTGGAAGCGAGGCCGTTTCCAATAAAAAAAAAATACTCACCATACGAAACACAACAGCTTAGCTGCTACTTTACGCTGGTATTCTGTGAGAACGTGGTCCTTTCCCCGTTGAGCCGACCCATTCGTGCTACAACCATAATATAGCTGCAGCATGGCTCTACCACGTAAAAAAAATATGTCAATAATATTATACATTTGACATTTTATTAAACTGCCCCGTAAACAATGATGACCCCGTTTACGAAGCTTGAAATTGCAGATTTTATTGTGGCATGTGGGTAATGTATCGGCATTTACGTTGGCACCTAATTATGGATGTTCGTTCATGTCCGTATTTTCTGCCGACTTCCAAAAAGGAGACGGTACTCAATTCGACTGTATGTTTCTTTTTTTATGTGTGTTACCTCATAACTTTTTACTGGGTGAACCGATTTCAATGATTCTTTTTATATTTGCAAGCTGGTACTTCTCGTGTGGTCCCATTGATCAAGGTCAGACCAATAGTTTTTGAGTTATTCTTAATAACTTATATTGAAGTCGGCTGTACAAAGTTTTTAATTATAAATGTCAATTATTTGTTTACAACGAAGATATTCGTGATACAATAATATCTCGGGGGGTTATCAATTTATCGGTTTTTTTTAGTTGATATTTCAGCAATCTTCAAAAAAGAAAGAGGAGAGATTCTCAATCGACAGTATACTTTTTCTTTTTTAATTTATAGTTGGAGTTTACTTTCACAGTGGTTATGGAATATGGATGATATTTGAAGACTGTTATAAAACATTTTGTCGTTAAAATAATACTTCCATTTACCACTCTAAGTAATATTCAAATGCTCATGTTGATAGTGTTTCACCACAGTAGTCGAATCGAGGATTCGAACCCAGTGACTTACTGAGTTGCGATTCGAAATCTACCATTAGGCTACTGTCGTTTAAAATTTTCTTTTACGGTTTATAATTTAATTCCGAGTGGCGGCGGCGTAGGAGAATCGATCATCCGATTGCGTCCCGTCGATGTCATGAGAGGCTAATATCATCTATCAGAAGATTTTATAACTTCTGGTAAATAACAGTGTAACGATCTCGTATACGGTATACGCCAGATAGATGACGGGCAATAGCGTTGAAGGAGCTCACTACACCCGCCAAGTCAAATTTATAATTGATAAAAAAATATAAGCAACGCGCAGTGTACTGACTTGAAGGGGTGTCCGTCGCTGGTCTTCTGCACGGCCTGCAGCACGTTGCGGTAGATGCGCAGCGCGAGCGCGGCGGCGAGCGCCAGCAGCGCCGCGTACGCCAGCACCGACACCACCGAGCACGAGGCCAGCGCCACCAGCAGCGCCAGGCCTCCGCCCAGCGCCACGCCCGACCGTACCGCGTTCCGCCAGTAGATCAGCGACTCCACTGCACACACACAACAACACGTATAACTTACAACTCAATCTCTAATGGCCAAATACTCAAACGCTGCACAATTTTAAAATGTCGTCAAGTCTCGTGCTGTCACAGTCACTTTGACTTCAAGTGATAGAGACAGTACGAGACTTAACGCATTATTGAAATTGAGTATATGAGAGTAACAATATAGTTTCTGGGTCTATTATAATATTGCATCAACAACGTCTCTTTCCGCGAATAAAACGATAAGTGTATAAATAGTAAATAGAGAGAAGTGTGCTCGTTCGTCACCCTTATTCTATACAAAAAAATATATAACATTACATAATATATAAATGAATTATAATCTGAAAACCATTTAAACATTTTTATCTATATGTACTTACAAACAATAATTTAAGTCGACAAACTTAATATTACTGAGACGTTGTTGCTCTTTTGCACCTAAATTCACGATATTTGGCCAGATATTACTTCTTAAATGTATATTCAATAACTCTTTATTCATTTCATTTCAACCATAAAGTTGCCACAGAACACACAGTTGAACTTCTGTTGTGTGTGGCAAACGCACAAAAAACACGCAAAAAAAACTTCAAAAAGCTCCTGAGGCCATCAGGCGTGAATGGGATCGTAGGTGTAACAATAGCGGTCTCGTCTCGACTTCACTCTGTCTGTATCGCCAGATTCGCCAGTCTAAACAACACTGATGTTTCCGAAACTTGTTTGGTAAGCGTATGGGCAGTGGCACCGTGCAAATTACTCACAATTAAATATAAGTTACTTTTTTTTTTATAAAATTGCAGTGACAAACAAACTTACAGTACCTACACCAGATGGTGCACAGAACATAATATATATCCCTAAAGGGGTGCTATCTCAGCCTTTGGACACCTAAACCAACTTCAAATGAAGAATGCTACAGATACTTGGAACACAGCATAGCACGCACTGCTATTTGGACGCAGAAGTAGGTAATAGACCTTGATAAAAAAAATGATTTTATATGTAGTCCTAAAAATAGACGATCATAAAATTTAAAAAAAAATTATTCATCGTTAATTAACTTACAATTTTTTACTATCGAAGACAATCGCTCGTCTATTTAGTTACCTTCACTCACAATTTTCCCGTTTTTAAACCCCCGATGAAAACAGAAGGGTGTATATTATATAAGTTTGTAGTGTGTATCTGTGTGTCTGTCTGTAGCATCACAGCTCCTGAACGGATGAAACGATTTTGATTAATTTTTTTTCGTTTGAAAGGTGTTTTCATTGAGAGTGTTGTTAACCATGGTTCAAGAAAACCTGTTTTAAGTTATTAAGGTTTTTTGCGTTTTAGTTGTCTACATCTTGTTATTTTTACCTCGCCATGGTTACCTATAACTAAGATAAAGCTTGTTTGCGTGTTTCGTTCTGAGATTAAGTATTTTTATTACAATCAACAAATAGATACACAGATCGTAGGTCTTACTACCTTACTTACCAGTGAGTAAAAATTGTATATCTAAAATTATATATCAGCTTACGCACTAGCTGAGTTAATAAAACGCAGGCATTATTTTCTGTAGCTACGGATAAGTGTTGACAATAATGCGCCTGACATTAGTAGGTCTTCGCTCCTCGCGAAGTGCCGCCCTGATATCTGATGACACGCACGGAACCGGTAACATTAGCGGTCGGAACGAGTTCGCCCCGTCCGAATAAAAATACACACTAGACAGAAATAACTGCCTAGGTAATATTAATTAAGTACCTAAATTGTTGCCTAGTCTAGACAAAATTACGATATACGAAGGCAACACAAATTCAGCACGCGTACAAAAATGTCGCTTACGTGATAAAAATGATTAAATAACGTTAAGGTAAAATATTATAACATGACTGTTATAGAATAGGCATAACATGATGTCACTTATGAAAGGCTGAGCAACGAACTAAAAGTTGATACGTGTACCGTTAACTTTAACCTGTTTTAAGTTACGTTTAAATTTGATAGTTTGAAGTGGATTTTATAAATGCAACAGACACCGAATGAAAACATTTGTAGTGATTTGAACTCATTATTCGAGATTATTTTATAAACAAAAAAGTAAAAGTTAGACATAAATAAGAGTATAATATTCCAAAGCCAAAGACCGAAAATTTTCCTAAGCTAAGCGCACAACTATCTACAAAAGGAAAGGAATCAACTCTATACAACGTAGGTTTACACGTCCGCAAGTTATAACTGAAAATATCAAAACATGACATAATTCAATAGTAAAATTTAGTTAACTTAACGAAAATTTAAATTATTTTATTGTTTTTCCACAATTAAAACCCTTTTTTCCAAATATTCAAACGCTTAACAAAGATGCCGTTAAATCTCGTACTGTCTCTATAACTTTAAGTCATAGTGACTGTGACACCACAAGACTTTAACGACATCTTAAAATTGAGTAGCTTAATAGTATTTGGCTATTAGAAAATTAGACAGCACGTCAACAAGTCGCCACCTACGAATAAAATAATAAGAGAGTTTTATCCAAGTTAAAAGGATTAGCGGCAAGGTTTCCGAGTGATATTGTAAGGTTGTGTACCTGGCCCTCGGGGCGGCAGCTCGACGTACTGTGCGTTGTGGCGCGGCGACTGTCTGGGACGCGCCATGGCGGAGGAGTGAGCGGCCGAGCGGCGGCGCCCTCCGCCGACCACGCGGCACGCGGCCTCCGCCACGCACTCGCCAACGTCACCCGCACTCACCGCGCTCGCCATGCGACCATGCGCTCGCCATTATTTCGGACTGTCCGCTACGTGTCCGGATGGCGGCGTTACGACATTTCCGGACAGGTACGGAAGGTGGCGTTACGATATTTCCGGATTTCGCGACGGCTTAACGCGATTCGTGCCTTACTCGGACATTTAATATTTGATATGTTTTATTTATGCGACACAACAAAACTTTTATTTTTGTGTATGGAAAACCTTTATTTTATTCATATTGCCAACAAATTGCGAAATACATTGTGAAAACGATCATTAAAAAAAGACTGTAAGCAAATAGTGTGAGCCAAAAGATACATACATAAACACTCACGCCTGTCACCCAGAGAGGTAGGCAGAGACTACGGACTTCCATTTGGCGCGATCCTGACACACCTCTCTCGCCTAGCCAAAAGCCAAAAGATGTTTGTTCAAAAAGTAAATAAAGTTACCCAACCTAAATCACATCAAGAACGAGAAAAATTATTGACTATTATACATGTTTGTATAATTTGCTAAATCGTAACGGTGTTCATCTTTTTTTATCACAAAAATACGTCGTATCAGTGAGCGGCGCTATGTTGCGACCTCGCGATAAGCTTCAGAGATTATTATAAGATGTTTGAATAAATAAGAAAGGTTACTTATGTCGTATACAAAAATGTTGACCGATTGAGTACGTAAATAATCCGCTTTAGTGTTCCCAATCAGAACAGATGCCTACGGCGCCAGAGCGGCAGCAATCAAGGCTATATTTCCAACCTTCAGGTCAACGACTGAGCCTCTATAAATAACATTATTTTAATTCGCGATCACATCAGGACCTGTCCTGCGCCTATAAATCCTTGTCACTGTACTTTCGAGTGTGTACTGTCAACATATAACCATAGCTGAGTTATATTAGTTAAAACAAACAATGTTACTCGTATTAGTAGATAGATAATGAAATTGAATAAAAGAAATTGAACGCAATTTTTATGTTCAAGCACCATCCAAATATAATTTTTTAAATGATTATTCTCCAAAATTATGGTTGTCTTGTAATACGTAGAGTTGTCAATACACTATCTTTCAACTGTACCCCGTTCGAGGAATTTCTTTTATAACTTACAGAAGAAGAATAAAAACTTCAACTTCGACAACGCTTCTTACAGATGTATTAATTCGCAGCAGCGACACTGAAAGTTTTTAGAACTGGCCACTTGTAAACGATAGAATAAAAAAATAAGTTCAAATTTTGAAAATGGAACTCTTTGTCAATAATATTGTGTATGTACCTATTTTATTAATTTGTCATTTGTTTACGATTTGCCGGCAAATTGAAAATTATGTGTCACGTCAGCATGAATTTAACGCGAGAAAATTTTCGTCCAATGATTTTTTATGACTTTCGATGTCATTTCAGTCAACAAGAAAGTTATGATAGACTTCGATTGGCCTCTCACGATGAATCCCCATCTCATGCCACTGTTTACAACTGGTTTAATGAGTTCAAACGTGGTCGCACTAATCTCACCAATGATCTGCGTGAGGGACGGCCTTCTACGGCGACTACTGAAGATAACATCAGTGTTGTGCGGCGTATGATAGAGACTCACAAAAGAGTGACTTATCAGTAGATTCGGACAAGCTTAGGCATCGGTATGAGTCAAGTGCACTAAATCCTCCATGAACATTTAGCCGTCAGGAAGCTTTGTGCCCAGTGGATACCTCATAATTTTCAGTCAGGAAGCTTTGTGCGCAAAACCTCCGTCGTGTTGATTGGTGTCGTCAAATGGTTCAAAGATTTAACGGAGGTGACTCAAATGCTGTATTCGACACAATTACGGGTGACGAAAGCTGGATTTGTTGTTATGATCTTGGAACTAAGAGACAGTCTGCAGTCTGGGTGTTTCCTTCCGAGGAGTTGCCAACTAAAACGAAGAGAGGTCGAAGTGACCTCGTTCTTCGGAAAGACAGAAACAGTTACTGCAGAGTGGAACGGTAACAATTGTTTACCACTTGTCTTGGAAAAAGTTCGGGAGAAACGACCTCACAGTAGAATCCTCCTTCACCACGACAACGCCTCGTCGCACACCGCCAAGTAAACAATCGACTACATGGCGACGTCAGACGTGGAATTACTGGGTCAACCGCCCTATAGCCCCGACCTTGAGATTTTTATTAATTTCCGAAAATAAAAGAAAAACTTCGAAGAAAACGTTTTATGCACGCCGAGGAAGCAGTGGCTGCGTTTCAAAATGCCGTCGAAGAGACCTCTAAGCA